TGTGTGTGTGTTCGGGGGGGTATAAAAGTTTAAGCATATATATGGTTTGAAAGACAATTACTTTTTTGTAAATAGCAAAGATAATTGATGTTTGAGTATCTAAGTATTCTTTGTTTGTCCTCAGGAGAGCATCTTGTTGAGAAGAGATTTCTATGGTTTATGAGCCCCTGGCGCTGGCGTTGGACTAGATATGGAAACCGATACTTTCAATTCTTTCCCAGTCACCTGACTTGGGCTCAGGCGCAGGTAAAAACAGTGATTTCGATTTAGCATTTCTCTCTGCTTTAATACTTTTCATATCAAACTTGGTTTAAACTAGACCTTTTGTTCTCCCCTATAGAGACACTGTCAGTTCCTGAATGCAAATCTAGCATCTGTGCGCAACCTCGGAGAGTACCAAGCGATTCAGAGGGTCATACTTAATGGTGCTCGTAATTATGTCCCTACATGGATTGGAGGCTCAGATGCTCAAGAGGTACACTACTCAATATTAGACATTAGTTCTGACACTAGAAGATATGCCTGCCTATCGACATTATTCTCTGGGGTTTTTTTGTGTTTTCTAGGAGCATTATTGGTTTTGGATCGATGGAACCCGTTTCAGATATGCAAACTGGTGTCATGGAGAGCCTAACAATGTCGGGGGCAGAGAGAACTGCCTGCATATGAATTGGACAGGTAAAACTTAAAAGAAAGTTTATGAATTCATTTTGAGGGGAACAAAAACTGTTACAGTATCCACATTTTCGCAAAAAATGCTTATCATTTGGTGTGATAAATAGCAGTGACTTACAGGAAAATAATATGAATTCTAAATTTTATTTTTAACAGAGACAAACTTTGTGTTTTACCATAATGAATAAAATAGATTGCTGTATTTCACGTCTTTAAATTTAAAGTAAATTTACATAGTGCTGTGAAAGTAGAGTCAAAAATGAATATTTACAGGTGCTCCTGCTATTATGCAAACTAAATATTTGTGTCAGTATAGACGTCCATGTGATCATGGCTTCACTTAATGTTCATTTTTGGTGCTTACAGGACACTTCTGTATGAATGACATACCCTGTGACGCCAGATACCCTTTTGTCTGCGCCAGGAAAGTCAGACGATTTCTGGGATGAAGGCTTGGTTCACCGGTCTTTGGAGCAAATAATCTCATAAATCCAGCTTAAAATGTTTCTCTTCTTACATCTTTACTTCTTTTAGTTCCCCGCAACGCTACATAAGGAATGAGTTGAAAAATGATGCAACCTGTAGTTGGATTGTCTCTTTTAATAAGAACAAACTGAGTGTGTAATGGAAAGAATGCTTTAAGCTTTCACTTTACTTCCCTGAATGAACATCATCTTCATTATTAAA